ATTCATAATTGAAAGCTGAATCTAGGATTTTTTCCCCTTTTCTTCTCAATTATGTGTAGAATAGAAAAGGTTATATATTGATTTAGTTCATATATCTTCAAATGTCATCAAACCATCAACATGCCATCGGTTTGCTGTCATGCAGCGAATGAATGTTTAATAATTCTATGATCATTTATTTTCCTTCTCCCCTTTTTCTCTTCCTCTTTCTGCCCCTGCCCCCTTTTGACTTGTCTTACAACTTTCCCTCCGACCTAGAAAGCAGGATGATGTTTTGTTATAGGTCGAGGGGTACGATGTCTGACTACTAAATTTATTCCTCTCGTCATGTCCGATGGTGGTATCTATCAGGGACCATTTGTTGAGTGGGAGGGACTTCGTCACTTTGGCCACTCTATTTGTCAAAGAAGTCCATTATCATTCTAATTTTCAGATTTAAATACTTAATAAATTAATGTCCCTCTCAATATTTGATCCTAGCTTCATCCTAGTCCCTTCACCCAATTTTAAATTTTAGCTTTCCTGTCTTAGCTCTCGGGTAAATTTTAGGAAAGGCAAGAAGTACCATTTTTTTATGATACATCTTGTTTTACTTGTTTGTAACTTTTCGTTATCTCTTCACCAGATCAAAAGAAGAAAAGAATCCTCTATACTCTTCACCCAATTTCACAATTCCCCCCCCCCCCCAACAATTGTACCTTTTTACCAACTTAGAAGAGGTATGAATAGAGTGCATTAAAGGGGAAGTAGACACACTCTTATACCAGGGACAGATGCAAGATCTTTTTTTAGGGGTGAAGTTATAAAATTTTAAAAATGGACAAATTTATAAAATTATAGGGAGCGAAAACACACCATCAATTAAAAATATAAAAAATATCTAGAATATATTTTAATTTGAAATTTTCAGGGGGCGATTGCCCCCTTCAGTCCATCCTTGCTCTTGTTAATTATTCATGGCTATGTCGGATTAGCCCAGCAGCAGCAACACAGTAATTGCCAAGCAAGAACTTTAATGATACCCTTTTGATATTTCCCAATAGGCATCTCTTGTTTCTTCAAAAAAAAAAAAACATCTCTTGAGATAATAATTAACCATTATGAGGTGAACAATTGTCTATTAGCATCTTTGATAAAAGAGAGTATTGTATTGAGCATGTTAAGGTGCAGATCTGGAATGGCATTAATGTTGCCCATCATTCTATCACCATATTATTATTTGCATTTATGGGGTTTTAAGATGTTAGCAATCATGGTCTAAATGTTGTTTGAATTGATCATGTGGAGTTGATAGTATTATTATTAATGGAGAACGGATTTTCCATGTTATGCAGCAAAAAAGTTTTGCTTTGATTCAGTCTTTCAACTAGAACTTATCCAAAAGTTGGATTATTTATTGGTATGTCTCTTATTTTCACTTGATTCCCCTATGGCATTTTTTTGGTATGGCTCTTATTTTTCACTTGATTCCCCTATGGCATTTTCATTTGATAGTATTATCAAAATATATATGTTGATTTTAGTGGGATCTCTCACACCTATGTCCGAGTAGCATAGATACATTGCACAGGTAACAATATGATCACCCTCTTCTACTCTGTGTGTATAACCAGCACAATAGGTGACATGTTGGCCAAAGTTTTGAACTGTAGCTTTTTTGATGCTGATGATTTCCATCCACTGTCAAACAAAGGTAAGTTCAGACATGGCTATTGAGCATGAATCAACAGTTTTTCTCTTCATACATTAAATTTGTTACTGCCTTTAACATTTATATCCATTTAAATACACAGAAAAGATGAGGCAAGGTGTTCCCCTCTCAGACAAGGATCGAATTCCTGGGCTAGAAATGCTACGGTATGTCCTAAAAGATAAATTAGAAGATGGAAAAACAGTGATACTTGGGTGTTCTTCACTGCAGAAACATTACAGAGAAATAGATCCGCCTATGCTGGTTACGTCTTGGGAGCCATGCTGGTAAGGCGCAGTTTGTTCTATTGGACGCGCAGGCCGATGTTCTAGCTGCTAGGCTCGAGAAACGAGCCGCAGAAGGGAAGCATTTCATGCCGGCGGCACTTCTGCAATCACAACTAGAGTTGCTTAACATAGATGAAGGTGAAGGGATATTCAAAGTCGATGCCACCTTAAGCCCTCTGGTGATCGTAAGCAAAATACAAGCATTTTTGTCCTCTAATTCTGATCAAACCATCGATGAACAGTCACTGGGAATAAGGATTTTTAAAGAAGTTTAGAATTTCTTGAGTTGCAATTGCATCATAATTCACAGTGTAATGACAACTGTAATTTCTTGGGTTGAATGTTATTTTGGCGCTCAAAGTTGTACCAATGATCACTTTCGTCTATTAGATTAACTCGTCTGGAAATGTCGATACAAAAGAGTGACGTGGCGTTAGGAAAATTGTAGGAAAAAAAAAGGAATATTATTAATAAAATTTTAAAAATGAAAGATTCCCAAAAAATCTTGCTATTAAATTAAAAATATTATATTTACTATTATCCATTTTTTCAAGTTACAAAAATGTTAAATACTTAAAAATGTAATGTCTGGAATTTTTATTAAAGAAAAAATAGTATAAAATTAAAATAATTTAATAAAATATTATACTATAATAAAAAATTCATTCTTCTTTCCTCACGTTTCTTTTTCACGCATTATTATAAATTTAATATAAAATAAAATAAAGGCAAGGATACATGAGACCATCCACTTTTCAAAAAAAAAAAAATCTTCAATTTAGAAAAAATACTCAATGTGGTCATTTGACCAATATTTTTCGTCGTTGACCAATGAGGTTGTTACTTTATGTTGACATGGTCTTTTTTTCCTCTCAATCTAGCCCTCCAACTCAAGAAAATAACTTAATCTGACTCTCCTATTTTTTTCTCTTCTATTTTGGTAACTAAACTTTAAAAGTTTTCAATTTAATAACTCAACTTTTGAATTGATCCTATTTTGATCATCATGATTTATTTTATTAATATTTATGTATGATGTGGCATTTTTTCTTTTCAACCAAAGATTTCTTTTTTTTCCTTTCATTACTAGATTCAGTGAACCCAGATTGAACTTCTAAAAAAAATGTAAAACTGGAGATGAGCTACTTGACCGGGTAATGAAAGAAAAAAAAAGAAATATTTGGTTGAAAAGGAAGAAAAATGAAATGAGAGGATAAAAGAGGAGAGTGGAGATTTGAAAATATATAAAGTAGTGGGAATATTTTTTAATTTAATTATAATTTTTGTGAATATTTTTTTGTTTTAATATATTTTTTAAAATTTTAATTTAATAAATATTATTTTAATCATATATTAATAAAATAAATAATAATAATAAATGCCACATCATACATAAATATTAATAAAACAAATCATGATGATCAAAATAGAAGTAATTCAAAAGTTGAGTGATTAAATTGAAAACTTTTAAAGTTTAGTGACTAAAATAGAAGAGAGAAGATAGTTGAATGAAGAATGGTATAATTTTCTCATTTATAACACATGAATAAGAGGGTCAGATTGAATTATTTTTCTTGAGTTGGAGGGTCAAATTGAGAGGAAAAAAAGGTCCTATCAACACAAAGTAACGGCTCCGTTGGTCAACGACGGAAAATGTTGGTCAAAAGACCACATTGACTCTTTTTTTAAAAATGGAGGGCTCGTGTACCCTTTTACCTAAAATAAATTTGATAAAAATATTATAATTAGTTAATTAAATAAAAATTAGAAACACTCCCTCCCCTTATTCATTACCTTCTTCAACATTTAAACTTACTTTAGAACCCATCAATTGAAATTCTAATGTTTCAATTTATCACCAATCGAACAATTTGTGCATTGGAAATGCTGTCAAATGTCAATCATTAGTTTTACTAGTCCTGATTATTTTGTCTCGTACTCGATTTAACGATGTTCAAATTCACCAGATTCTTTCTCTTATCATAGTAATTATGAAGATCCATTCCAACGATACCAACCAGTAAATTGATGTAAAATCCCGTTTTGTTTGACAGAAAGCTCAAAGACGGTTCCATTGTCATCAGCTCTAATCAAAATCTAGAAAATTTATTAGTTTCTATAATTTCAACTCTCCTTTAGATAGATATTGATTAGATAAAATTAAGACCTAATTAATTTTTTTTATTATATCTATCCTTAAATATATAAATAATAATCATAATATTATGTCGGGTTAGATCGAGCTAGATTTTTTTTTTCATTTTAAACTCGATCCAAACTCGTATTGGTCATATGCTACATCTCAACTTTTTTTTGACAAGATTTGAAGGCCTCATTAAAAATCTTCTTCTTGATTAATAGAACTCGTAAGAAGCTCCTTAATCAGCAGAATGAGAAAATAGTGACTTAAGATTTCATTAAACATAAGGAAAGTTACAATAGAAATATAACACACCAAAACACCCCTTACAAAACTAAAAACCATAATACAACCATAAACAACACCACATAAATCAGCCTATTTCAGCCTTAGTTAAGACATCAGAGAATATTAATGCATTATTTTTTTTCACCAGAGAGTATTTTACATTTTCTTCATATTATGCAACTGTATCTAATATTTTCAACACATACTATACTAATGAAATCTTAGAAGGATCTGCTAGGAAACTCGATCTTATTTAGCTTCCACAAATTTATTCTTCTTCCTCAATTTGAGCATTTACCCATTCAATCTGCCTGCAGAGATTTTCTAGGAAAGCCTTTTTTTTCTTATTAATTTTCTAGGAAAGCTTAATTATAAAGAAATGTGCAGAGATTCCTTAAATCCTACCCTACCTGGTTTACATAGTAATTGGGGGAAACAGATAATAGAAGAAAGAGCTGAGAACATGTGCCAACTTTGTATATGATTTCATATAAAAAAAAATATGTAATAAACACAAAAGGGATATGATTTGATTTTAGTTAGTGTAATGAAAATAATACAAGTTTCTGTTGGCTGTGCAATCATGTAAGGTTTAGACGATTCATATTTCATAAGGCACCGCAACAGCAAAACATACCCGTCCCAAACACACGCGCTTCCACCTGCTGCTTTGAAGCAGAGCACAATGTCCCCATTTGTTCCTGTGATATGAAAATGCCCGCCAACGGTTATTGTGAAATCTTTTCCATAAACGCCATTGCTTCATATTAGTAAGCAAAAATGGTAAGCATTACCTCTTGTGAACAGAGTTTTGCGACTTCATCTACTCACACTTGATACAGAGGTAGATGTGACGAACGAAGAACAGAGATGCAAGGAAGCCTATGGCACCAAGCATGAGGAAGAAGCCATAGCAAATGCAAGCCATGTAGCCAAAGAAGAATGAGGTTTGCATGAAGCCTGACATGTCAGATCGCTCATAGTAGTAAAAGAAACAGTAGGCATATATGAACAACCCAGTTGACCCACCACAAAGGAAGGACCTAGGATACCAACAGAAAATGTAAGTTAAGACCAACCACAATTAATGAAAAAGGTGGTGTGCCATGCACGCTACATGAATGTCAATTAATGATAGAAAAAAGTTCATATTAATAATTCTACAAATGACACAAGATTGACAGAAAATGATAACTTGTTGTTTGTAACATTATTTGCACTTGTATCTTTGCATAAAATACATGTTGGAAAGAACTTAGATTCCAGAAACAAACTCTCTGTGAATTTATGACACGTGACAAATCAAGCAGCCAGAACATTTCGTTCATTCAAAGTAGGATGCGTAGAATGCCACACATTTTAGAAATATCCACTCTGATTCATACACAAGCAGCGAGGTCAGTGGGAAACTGAAAGTCTGAAATAGTTGTTCGGTGACTAACTGGTTCTAGAGCTGGGTACATATATCACAAGCTTGGCAAACATGACATGCATGTTCTATCTTTAATCGGAGTGATAAATCAAGTATGGCATAAACCCTTATGTACCTACTTATATTAATGTTTCACTAATTTATGTACTTGTTTTTCTAACACAAGTCCAGTAGAGTCACAAAGGTATATATTTTCAAGTCTCATTACCTAATCTCTCAGGCACAACCCCATTCTCTCCCTTAAGTATGAATATATTTTGGGTGCATGCATGCAAATGTGCACTTATGTCTGCAACAGTGTGCACCTATGTGTGGGTGAGAGAGTGAGGAGGAGAGAACAAGCTAACAGGGAATGGTTCGACATTGCTGCCTGACTGAAGAGGTTTTCTAAGGCATATTGTTAAGCCAACTATATTAGAATTTTTGTTCTTCCAAACTGGGCTTCAAACAAGTGCTGTGGTATAACTGTATAAGGAGAACACCAAGAAGAGTTTTACCTTAGAAAACGAATCCATTGAACTAGGAGTTTCCTGGCCCAGAAATTTCTAATCCAAATTTGGCTTAACAATTTTATCAAAAGAATAAAACTTTTTGGCTTAAGAAATTCTCCTTTGCCTAGTATCAAATTATACACCTAACTTCAATTAATGGGCTTATGCCCTTTCCAGAAAAAAGTACATAAAATTCATACCAAATAAACATGGATTTGCTCAAGCAAAGCTTTAAAAGAAAAGAATCTAGATCATATTCCTAACTTTTCATTACATTATCAGAAAGTAGTTTGCTATATTTGTATCGTAGCTAGTATAATAATATCAGTACTAGACCAATTGCATATCTACAAAAATGCTTATCAACTACATACTAGACAAATTGCAGCACTTAGATTAGCTCATGCAACTTCAATTGGGTTTCTAATACTTTGTTTGGAAATTGTACAAATGGACAAAAAAAGGTCAATTATGAAAAGGGTATCAATATGGACCCATATATCACAAGAAATTATGCATGCAATTGCTGAAAGACAAATATGGCACACATGCATCAACAAACAAACAAAACAAGAATCCTTGAGCTCATCAGAGCAACAATATGAGAACTTTAAAATATTCTTCAAACAGCCATGCATATATATTCATGTATTCTGTTTGTGCCCACTCGTGAATGCATAAGCTTCTTTATATATGCATGTTAGAAAAACAACATACCTCCACCACCAGTCATGGTCTTCAGCAGCAAGTTGAAAATAAGTTAAAGCCACGGTAATAAAAGCAGTGACAAACAAGAGAATGATAAAGACAATAAACAGGATGCCGTAAATGGTGTAGTTTCTATGTCCCCACACGCTGGCTAACACATAATAAAGCTCAATATATATGGCACTGAAAGGCAAGAACCCTGCCATTGCCATCCGAGGAAGAGTTTTTCTGTACCAAGGCAGCTGTGGGATCTCTGTAGGACACTTTGTGGTGTGACACGGGGCTTCAAACTCCGCCTTGCTATTCTTTCCAGCAATACCTCCTAATACTAATAAAGGAGATGTGACCAGACCCCATATGAGAAAAATCATTACAATGGCTCCAAATGGCAATGCTGCAGTGACTTTGTAAGCAATTGCTACGGTGTTAAGAAAGCAAAATGTGACAAAAAGAGGTCCACAAAACAAGCTTCCTGTCAGTAATAAGTTTCTCACCTGCCATGAGAAAAGGGTAAAATAATTATAATTGACCAAAAATATATCAACATTTTAGTTACCATTTTCATGCTTTGGTTCTAAGTTCCTACATTTTTTTCATTGAGATTCAGCAGGTAATAGTGCATAGGGTTAAGATGCGGAAAGCTGCCGTGATTAAAAAGTTATCAGAAAACGAGTTTTTGTTTATCTTAAATTATAATTCCAATTGTAATTTACTTATACTTTATGATTAGGTTTTATCTTCTTAGAAGATAAGATTTTTAGGAGATAAAGGTTAGGAAAAAAATACCTAGTTAAACTGTACTTTTGTAATTCTCACCTAGAAAACAGAACTTAGGTTCTCTCTTCGTTCAAATTCTCACTTCCTTTCTTCTTAGAATATTTACATAAGATAAAGGCCAAAGTTATATCACCCAAAGTCAGATTCCAACGGAGGAAAATTGGAAAAGTTCTATTTCCATTTTGGGAAGACAACAGTATTTTGAAATAACCTAAAATAGTAAGATGGACATTCCCTTTAGAAGAAAAGCAGAATATTTTATGAGTTAAATGTCATTTTATGTAGATTTAGATTATTTAGGATATTTTGTATTGATTACTATTACTTACTCCCAATTGTCTCGGTTTTGGAGTTATAATTGGTAATTTTGCAGGCTTAGGACACGGCAAATAAATATCTACATTATTTAGTATCATATTAGACTTTGGACAAGGAATGTGCGAAATTTTCACCCTCTATTTGTTCCTTTCGGGTTTTCACCCTATTTCTTTAGTTTCTCCTTTGATCTTCTCAGCCTCATCCTGATGGCTTATGCCTACTTCTCAATTTATAGAAAAAGAAAGGAAAACACATACACACTTAGAATGGTTAGATCTAGTTGGTTTGACCAGCCAGTTTATGTTTAGTTAATAAGATAATGATTACTATAAACCAGAAAATAATTCTTCAAAATACTAAATCTCATCTCTTTCTCCCGCCTCAAAACTACTGAGTTCATAAATCGGAAACAGGGAAGAGAGATCAATATTACATACCCAATTTATTCCTTCTAGCTGACAATAGAAAGAAGCTGCAGTGTAGCCAGCAATTCCAGATGTAAGGGCATAAATGACTACCAAAGTAGATAACAGAACTCCTCGATTATATGGATAAAAGATCCCAACCATAGCAAGGATAAAAATGAAAATTGCACTGGAAAACAATGCAAATAAGACGGCCACCAGATTGCTCATGAATAATAAGCAAAAAATAACTTAAATTTAAGGCCAGTACTCACATAGTAAAGAGTTGGATACCAGATCCAAGAGCTGCAGCAAATAAAGACTTGTGCTTTGGGTACCTGAACACATCACCATAAATGTATTTCCACCCAGTCTCATCATCATCATCTGCTGATTCCTCATCACGTGTATACCTATAAACCAAGAAATAAAACCATGTTATTTGAATTATATGTGGATTTTGATTCATCGAAGCAGAGAGGAATTCTATTCTTACTTCATGAAATCATTCTTAAGGATGCGCATAAGAATGGTGGCAAGGAAAGCAGTCAATAACAGAACGATAACACATGAATTAAGGGTCGAAAACCATTGGATTTCCAAGTGGTTTGAAGACATCGAGTACTTGCCCATCCGTTTCTCAAAAGGAGAGCCTGTTTCCTTCCATTTAACCGTGTACATGAAATCCACATCGACTGGTTCATCTCCGTTGAGGTCGACCACGGCATTGGAATCACTTCGAGCATGAATCTCAATAACACGATCTTTATTGTAAAAGATGTCAAATAGGAGACGCTTATAGAGATAATACTTATGGTTGCTCGGATCGGTCATGCTTTCCTTATCAACTTTGCCAAAGAAGCTCCAAATCGGAAGGTCATCGTAGTACATTTGGAAGTAATAGTCTTCAGAGACGGCGGTTCTGAATTTGGCGACGTCTTCCTTTGAGAGCTTCGTTTGGCAAGCAATTTCAGCATCTTTCTCGCTCAAGAAGTCGATTTTGTAAGGGGCACTCACTAGCCGATCGCCATTCAACACTTCGCCAAAAGCTTCCTTCTTCTTCTTCACCAGGGCTGCATCGCGTAACCTCGATTCATCTTAAACTCTCAAAAATGAAATACACTAAGACTAAAAATGATCAAAACAACAGAAACGATCAAACGAACCTGAGGAACAGAACGGAAAATCGAAGTAACGGTATGTCTCACTGTTTATTCAAAGGAAAATAGGTTAATGAAAAACAAAAGTTCGTAAAATTAAAAAAAAGGAAACCTGGGATTGCGGAACGGGCCGACTTTATTAGCATAGAAAGGAACTTCATCTCCAGCTTTGTAAAGATGATCAGAAGCACTGGATCTCACTTGAGTTACGCCACATAGGGTCGCAAGGGCCAAAGCAACCAAACACGCCCTTGTTCTCTCCATTCCCCTTGTCGTAACCGTCTTTCGGTTGGGTCCCGAAATTAGGTTTCGACTTAGAAAAATGTGGATTGGAGTCGCCACTGATTATTTATTTAAAAATAAATGGGTTGATCGGATACCCTATTTCTTACCTGATCTGCGTCTTACCATAAATATCGGGCTCGGAAGTCGGTCACGGTCAAGGAAGGATTACACCCTTGAACCGCCCTTTCGGTACTACGTAATTTCCAATTGTCTTAATTAAGAAAAATAACAAGTTAAATTAAAAGGTAAAGTTTCGATCCTAATTACTTACCCTTGATTGATTTGAAAATATCATTTAAAAAGAATCGAGAAATGTGTTAGATAAACAAGGTAAAGAAAACAAATAAGATACAAGGAAAAATAAAATAAATTAAATAAATAAGTAAGATAAAAAAAATAGTAAAGTGATAATTATATATAGTAATATTTGAAAAAAGGAAAAAAATATAAATATATATATATATATATATATCAAAGTATTAATAAAATAAATAAGCTATATATATACACTAAATACTTAAAAATAGAAAAGCTACCATCCCAATTCACCGAAAGTGGGAGACTTTAGTAAGAAATAAGACAAAAAAAAATGGACCCTCTAGGTTAGTAGTATATAATATAATGTTTAATAATGATAAAGACACAAGATTTTTTTTAAATAATAATAATATAATAATGAATTAAAAAAATGAAAATAATAAAAAATAATATAAATATATAAGGTTATAAGATATATTACATAAATAAAGAAATAATCAAATAAAAATAATTAAGAATATATATATTTAATGATAGGTATATAAATAAACTATTAAAAGTATAAAAAATATATACGACTAGATAAAGCTAATTACAATATATATATAGTAATATTAGACTTATAAGTAAAATATTAAAGAAATATATATATATAATAATAATAAAATATAGTAAAAATAAATAAATGAAAATAATTTAATATATATATATATATACATATAATAATAATAACATGAATAATAAAAATAAATGAATAAAATATCCATATAATAAATAAAGGGACTAATATAGATTTTTTAAAAAACTCTTCCCCTCCTTAAATCGAAAATCAAACCGGTTTTTAAAAATAAGCCTCGGGGTAGATCTAGGTTCGAAACTTCGAAACCCCACCCATTTTGGTCATCAGCGCAACCCACGTTTTGGGTTATTCGAACCAAATCTCAAGAAAAATAACGTGCACATGCAAAAGAAAGAAAAAAGAAAATGCTACATTTTATTTCCTTTTCGAATCCTTTACAATAGTTTTGCCTTTGTATCTTCCCGTGCTTTCCTCTATGTTTTGTGTATAAATTGTGTGTTACAATGGTGAGTTACAATGGCTATTTATAGTGCTTGTGGATCCTATCTTTAGGAATTTAAATCTTAGTAGAACTCTATCCTATTTTTAGGAGTTTGAATCCTAGCAAAATTTTATCTTATTTTTAGGAGTTTGAATCCTAGTAGGACGAAAATGTGTGTTGACAGCTGCCCCTCTTTGCCCATAGTCGTGTAACGGGGATAGGGCAAAGATTAAAAGACACACTTTTCGTTCAGTGGAGTTGAAAATTAACCCTGATGTTTCAATAACTCCCTGTCGAATTGAGTTACGGATGACTCCTCCATCGTGAAGTCGAGTTCATCTTGAAATGATATGAAATTGAAGCCGTAGTTCGGAATTTGAATCAGCACATGGCTTCCCGTTACCCTTCGATCTTCTTCTCGGTTTAAAGACCTTGGATCGGAATCGAACTCAGAAATCTTCATTGACAGATAGTTTTTTCTTGACTTAAGCTATGTTGTTTGAAAATGGTTGCTTGTCACTAAGGCACGGCTAACCCAGGTCATCTTCTCGACTTGAAAACCTCGACTGCAACCGGAAAGTAGTGCGATTGATGTGTCATCGAGCTGAATTGAGTCGAACTCGACAATTTTGATGACAGATAATCCTTCTTTGAGTTGGATATCCTTCTTCGTGAAGTTGAAATCCAGGTAAGTAGCATTGTTCCGAGTCCAATATCCTCCGTCGTGAAGTTGAAATTGGCTCTGGAACCGGGAAATTGTTTGTTGACAACCAGCCGTCCCTTCGTTGTGAAGTTGAACTTGTGTTGTCTCGAGTCCAATATCCTTCGTTGTGAAGTTGAAATTGACTCTGAATGAAATTTTGTTGCCAAGCAACGGTCCCTTCGTCGTGGAGTTGAACTTGCGTTGTCTGGAGTCCAATATCCTTCGTTGTGAAGTTGAAATTGGCTCTGAGATTGGGAAGTTGTTGTTGACAAGCAGCGGTCCCTTCGTCGTGAAGTTGAACTTGCGTTGTATGGAGTCCAATATCCTTCGTTGTGAAGTTGAAATTGGCTCTGAGATTGGGAAGTTGTTGTTGACAAGCAGCGGTCCCTTCGTCGTGAAGTTGAACTTGCGTTGTCTGAAGTCCAATATCCTTCGTTGTGAAGTTGAAATTGGCTCTGAAATTGAGAAGTTGTTGTTGACAAGAATCGGTCCCTTCGTCGTGAAGTTGAACTTGCGTTGTCTGGAGTCCAATATCCTTTGTTGTGAAGTTGAAATTGGCTCTGAAATTGAGAAGTTGTTTGTTGACAACCAGCCGTCCCTTCGTTGTGAAGTTGAACTTGTGTTGTCCCGATTGTCACGATATCCTCCGTCGTGGAGTTGAAATCGCGGATGTTTGGCTTCGAGCTAGACATCCTTCGTCGTGAAGTTGAAATCTATTCTCGAGCAAATTGTGTCGTTTCAAGAGAAACTGTCTCAAGGGAGACAAAATTTGTTTGAAGGAAAACATATTCAAAGATTTCGTTAAATTGTTTTCAAAGTTTATGTTTGGAGAGAAACTGTCTCAAGGGAGACAAAATTCGTTTCAAGGGAAACTATCTCAAGCGAGATAAAATTCATTTCAAGGGAAATGTTTTCAATGTTTATGTTTGGAGAGAAACTGTCTCAAGGGAGACAAAATTTTCTATTTCGAGGGAAACTATCTCAGGAGAGAAAAAATTAATTTCAAGGGAAATGTTTTCAAGAGAAACTGTCTCAAGGGAGACAAAATTTTCTGTTTCGAGGGAAACTATCTCAAGAAAGATAAAATCTTCTTTAAAAAAAATAGCATTGAGTGAAATGAAATGCCTTCTTTCGAGTGAAAACGGTCTCAAGCGAGACAAATCTTGTTTTAAGAAAAACAATCTTTAGTGAAATAAATCTTCTTTCGAGAAAAACAGTCTCAAGTGAGACAAAGTATGTTTTAAGAAAAACAAATTTGAGTGAGATAATCATCTGCATTAAATGAGACTGTCTTAAGTGAGACAAAGTTTATATTGGAAATGTTGAATCTGGAGATGAATGTCGATCTTTCAATCTGTCGAGTTGGCTTTTAATCTCATCTTCTCCTGAAAGATCTGTAAAATGTATATGGATGTAACTATCCTGATGATGTATGCTTGATGTATGCCAAAATGAAATTTATTTGCTGTTGAATTTGCCCTCAAGGGAGGAAAAATCAAGGTTTTTATTACTCATGATGATGAATTCAAAGATGCAAATTTCATGCGTCATGTATGTACGTGTTGATGTATATGTTGAGATGTGAGGGGAATGGCTGCGTGTGCAGTCTTCATTCTGACTTAATTTGTCTTCATTTCCACCAGGGTATACTCTTGCAGACCTCAAGACAATTTTTCCTTCCCTTATCAAATTTTCCCCAAAGATGGTTTCCTTTGCCTCTATTTCGATCTTGAGCTTCGGAGCGATATTTGTTGAATTCTAAGATATGCTTCCAGAGAACTTATCTTGTTTGAAAATGCTTTTCTTCTTTCGAATTTTCAAAATTTTGAAAAATATCAAAAAGAACTTTTGAAAAAGTTACCTCTTTCTATGTTTCACAATTGAAGCAAATCATAAAACATGAGTTCATTGGATATCAAAAGAATCAAACACTTTTTTAATCTTTGATAGCTGCAAATCTTTGACAAATATCAAGATCGAAAAGTTGGTCTAGAGGTGGGTTTGTTTCATCGATTTGGTTATCGTGAAGATCATGGCATGCCCCTCTTTCTTGATTTGGTATTTTGATCAGAGGCGAACAAAATGACACAACTAGCATAATCAATGACTAGACCTTTCAGACACTTCTGTTTCAGTTCTCTGAAATCTTCCATTTGTTCAAGTTTCGTAAGCTCTTCTAACAAAGGTAGTGCAAAAATATCGGTCTAAAAAATGAAATTCTTGAGTGCTCGTGTGAATTTGACTATAACAGGTGTTTCTCAACTCCCTTAGTCTATTATTACCAAAAATTTCTTTTTAGATGAATTTATTTTGCCATTGTCTGGCTAGCCGAATCCATAAAGTCGGGGCGTTCAACCAATTGCTTTAGAGGGACAACTTATAATCACTTTTATCAGGTTTAACTGAAGGGTTCATCTCATCACAAAGTCTTTGACCTGACAAAAGCAGTGGAGCAAACACCGAATTGCCAAGTGTCCGAGCAATATCATGATTTGAATGTAATCTATTCATAAAGCCAGGGCTTTCGAGTTTCCTCTATAACCAATTGCCTTAGTGGAATAGCTCAGCTTTAGAGGGACAAATCACTGAAGGGTTCGTCTCATCACAAAGTCTTTGGCCTGACAAAAGCAGTGGAGCAAACACCGAATTGCCAAGTGTCCGAGCAGTGTCATAGTTTGAACATAATCTATTCATAAAGCCAGGGCTTTCGAGTTTCCTCTATAACCAATTGCCTTAGTGGAATAGCTCAGCTCTAGAGGGACAAATCACTGAAGGGTTCATCTCATCACAAAGTCTTTGGCCTGACAAAAGCAGTGGAGCAAACACCAAATTGCCAAGTGTCCGAACAGTGTCATAGTTTGAACATAATCTATTCATAAAGCCAGGGCTTTCGAGTTTCCTCTATAACCAATTGCCTTAGTGGAATAGCTCAGCTTTACGGATTTAATTTCTTAAGA